ATTTACCTCCTTTTTTAGGGTCTCATTCTCAACCATAAGTAAGGTATCACAAGTGAAACCATCACTCATAGGTGAAGTAGAAGTGGATGTGCTACAAGAAGGGTTAGCGGGAGCAACAATGATTGGCTTATAGAATGATTCATCAATTATATCACAAGTTAAGCTTACATCACATGTTACAACATGCTCTTTCTCATTTTGCTCATCAAGTAGAGAGGAATGAGCTTTTTCAAGCTTCTTGTGAGCCTTGCCAAGCTTCTCATGGGCTTTCTCTAGCCTCTCATAAGATGTATTGAGCTCATCAAAGGCTTGCTAAGGGCTTTTAGTTCCTTACGCAAGTCTTTGCATTCCCTTCTCTTACTGTAAAAATGCTCCTTAGCATCATCTAACATGTCAAGTAGTTTATCCTTAGTTGGTTCATCATCATTATCACTTTCACTTTCATTATCATGTTCCTCATCATATCCATCATCACAAGTTTGTACCTTAGTGGCCTTAGCCATGAAGCAAGTCGATGGAGTGTTGAAGAGGAAGCATCACTATCTCAAGTGACCACATATGAACCACCCTTCTTCTTCTCCTTGAAGGTCAATTTGTCCTTCTTTTCTTCTTCTCTTTCTTGTCCTTCTTCTTACTCTTATTGTCATCATCATCATGTTGCTATTGTATGGGCATTGAGCAACAAGATGATCCTTGCTTCCACACTTGAAGCACCTTCTTCATTCTTCCTTGTTCTTGGATGAAGACTTCTTCCTTCTAGCACGATAGCCCTTCTTCACCATGAACTTGCCAAATCTCTTCACAAAGAGAGCCATCTTCTCATCATCATCATCATCCCAAGAGAGTGAACCTTAATCTTCACTTGATATGTCGTGCTTGGCCTTGCCCTTGGATGATGTGGCTTTGAATGCTACACTCTTCTTTTTGTCATCCTTCTTCTCATCTTTCTTCTCTTTCTTTTCTTCCTTCTCATCATTATCTCTATATGTGTCATTGGTCATCACATCTTCCAACATTTGTTTTGGTGTCATGGTGTCCAAACCACTCCTCACTAGAATAGTGACCAATGTGCCAAATCTCGATGGTAAGCATCTCAAGAACTTGTGAGAGAAGTCCTTGTCCTTCACCTCTTCTCCAAATGCTTTGAAATCATTGATAAGCACTTGAAGCCTATGGAACATCACCGGCATACTCTCATCTTCCTTCATCTTGAAGCTAGCAAACTTCTCCTTGAGGATGTATGCCTTAGCACCCTTCACCTCTTGAATGCCCTCAAATGACTCCTCCAACTTCCTCCATGCCGCATGTGCCATCTCAATATTCTTGATTTGCTCAAATGTTCTCTCATCCAATGCATCATGAATGACACTAAGAGCAATATCATTGTTTTGGAGAAATACTTCTTCGGCCATGGTGGCAGCTTTCACATTGGCAACCTCAATCTTGGTCTCCACCACCATCCAAATCTTTCTATTGATTGACTTGATGTATGTTGTCATCTTCGCCTTCCAATAAGGATAATTGGAGCCATCAAATTAGGTTGGCTTCTTGGTGTTGTTGATTTGAGCCATTTTGACACCAAAGGTTGTTAAGCCTCAAATTACGGTGACCACAGCTCCGATACCACTTGAAAGGTCCTAATAGCTAGAGGGGGATGAATAGCCTATAAAAATTTCTACAACAACAGTTAAGCCAACTGGTTAGACAATTAAACAATAAAGCGAGTATTGCGCTAGCCTACTAAAAGTGCAAGCCTCCTATCCATAATTCTGGCTGCTCTGATCTCTATTTCACACACAAGAGGCTATGTCACTACCACTAAGTTAGCAAGCTCTCAAAGACAAACTAAAGAGCCTCACTAACCACTAGACAAGACACAAGCTAGCTCTGAAAACTAATTACACTAAAGAGTTAGCTACACTAGAAATGTAAGTACAAGAGTGAGTTAGTGAAGATATACCGCCGTGGCAAGAGACAATCAATCAATCACAATGAATACCAATGAAATCCTCGGAGACAATGATGACACAAGATTTTTCACCAAAGTTCACTTGCTTGCCGGCAAGCTAGTCCCTGTTGTGGCAATTCACTCACTTAGAGGTTTACGCGCTAATAGGCATCACACACCTAACCCACAATCGGGTGCCGCACAACCAACATAAGATGAGGATCACACAAGCCACGAGCAATCCACTAGAGTACCTTTTAGCTCTCCGCCAGGGAAAGGTCAAGAACCCCTTACAATCACCATGATCGGAGCAGAAACATGCATCTTCCTCCCCTCGACGATCCTCGCTGCACCAAGTCGTCTAGGTGGCGGCAACCACCAAGAGAAATAAGCGAATCCCGCAGCGAAACACAATCACCAAGTGCCTCTAGATGAAATCACTCAAGCAATGCGCTTGGATTCACTCCAAATCTCACAAAGATGATGAATCAATGATGGAGATGAGTGGGAGGGCTTTGGCTTAGCTCACTAGTTTGCTATGTCAATGAAAATGGCCAAGAGAGTGGGCTAGAGCCAGCCAAAGGACTTAAATAGAGGCCCCTTCAAAATAGAGCTGTTGGCTCTCTGTCAGCACTGAAAACAGGGTGACTGGACGCGCGGGTCAGAGTGACTGGACGCAGCCCGGCCTACGTTCGGTCACTGGATGGAAGCCATGTGGCCTCCGCATTCAACCGTGGCCGCGCGATCCCAACGATCAAATTGAGATCGGACGCGCCAACAACAGACCGGACAATGCGACCCCGTGTCCGCTCACATGTTCCCACGCGCACCTAGTGCCACGAACGGACGCACTGCTAGATTCACCTGACGCCGCGCCACTGCGCGTCAGATCATTTCTAGTAAGGTTGCCGAGCGGGTTTTTCAGGATCGGTCACGTCCGATCATACGCGACCGGATGCACTCAGCATCAGTTCCTCCTCAGCCTTGCTCTGCCGCTTGCGTCAGCGTATGTCACATGTGACCTGACACACCTCCGTCGAGTCTGGTCAACAACGCCTCCAGAGTCCGGTCATCAAGAGCAAGACCACGCCACTGCTCCACCACTGACCAGACACGCAAGTCTAGCATCCGATCCTGCGTCCGGTCAGCTCCAGTGACCTCGAGTTCACCAACTTCACCACCCTTGCTCAAATGTGCTAACCACTAAGTATTTCACCTTGTGCACATGTGTTAACATGTTTTCACAAATATTTTCAAGGGTGTTAGAACTCACTAGAATCTAAGTACATATGAAATGAGTTAGAACATCTAGTGGCACTTTGATAACCGCATTTCGATACGAGTTTCACCCCTCTTAATAGTATGGCTATCTATCCAAAATGTGATCACACCCACTAGGTGTCTTGATCACCAAAACACAAAAGCTCCTATGGATATCACCTTTGTCTTGAGCTTTTTGTTTTTCTCTTTCTTCTTTTCTAAGTCCAAGCACTTGATCACCATGGCCATCACTACATTCATGATCATCACCCATTTGTTCCAACACTTGGAATGTGCCACCTATCTCCATAATCACTAGAGCAATATGTTAGCACTTAGGGTTTCATCAATTCTCCAAAACCAAACTAGAGCTTTCAGCTGAGCTGACCCCCAAAAGCTGTTTTCCTAGTTTGGGCTCCAAATGAAATGATCCAAGTAGGTTTTCTGACAGTCCTAATAATAGAAATACCACGGTGGACTCCATTATGCACTTTGACCAATTTTGGCAGTCAACACTCGAAATTGGAAAGCACCTCAGTGTGGATTCTCTACTCGATCAGATATTTGTCATAGTAACATGTTATTGTTTCAAATTAAGAATTGATGGTTGCTAATTGCTAGAGTATATTATGAGAACCTTTATTTTGTTACCACGGTCCATGGTGTACTTGCGAAATGCTAAAAACAGCTAGCATTGCAAATAAAAAACATGTTAGGGGCTATACAGGGGACCACTATTTTCCTTCCGGCCCCAGGCCACGGAGAAGTAAGTTCCGGGGCCCTGTGAGAATATACATACGTATATGAAAACTCTGCCAAACATATTGGAAGTATCACAAATCAAATGTAGAGATGCTATTTGGAAGCCGGGGTTGATCTTTTTTCCTTTATTGGAGGAGTTGAAGTGTGTCATGCAATTCCTGTGAAATTATTGTTGCGTATGAAAATACTTGTCCCACTGTATTTCGTCTAAACCGAGGTTTTGGATAATATTGAAATAATGCTGGAGTTTATCACCTGTACATTATTTATTAGTGTATGGTCTACACGATACTTTTCCACTGGCCAACAGTTACACAGTTTGCCGTCTTGTATTACTGGAGTTTATCCCCTGTAACAATTACTTGTGCTGTAAAAACACCTCAAATCATGCAAGTGATGCAATTACAATGGAGTACCGTGGAAGTACTCTCTTATCTCTTCTGTTCTACACCTAAAAAGACTCTAAAGTATCTACCAGGTGATACCAAACCTTGAGCCCCCTCACGCATCCATGTCGATACGTATCATACTGTACTCGGAGCTCACACGTCCGCGTCCTACCGAGTTATAATACGAATACTAGATCCATGTGTCGTCTATATCAGTTACGAAGTCCTCGGAGCTCACACGTCCGCGTGATATTACTAAGAGTCAATTTAAAAAATTATGACTCCAGGGCAACGCACGGGCATATATCTAGTTAATTAAAGTATATGATTGTAACTGAAGAGATGTGTGCCATAACATAACATAACATAACATAACATGGAGTAATACGATGAGGATACAAATACAACCCAGGGGAGGTAGAAGCTTTATTATCGCCGACCGGACTTATATATATATATATATATATATATATATATATATATATATATATATATATATATATATATATATATATATATATATATATATATATATATATATATATATACACACACACACACGTACTGAACGGATATGCATGCATGCAGTCCGAATCCGACAGGTATATTATTCTTGTGTGCACAAGCAACCGGCGGCTGGCTCATGGGTTGACGAAAATTTCGAGGTCGATAATCTCGGGTGTGACCGTCTTCCACAGCACGTAGCCACGCGCCATCCTGAACTGCCCGGTGCCTCCGACCACCGAGAGCTCCCGCACCGGCGTGTTGATGTCGTCGCGGCCCACCACCGTGATAGAGCTACCGGCATACGGGCCCACCGAGAGCACCACGTTCATGGTGACCAGCAGCTCCAGGTTGGCCACCGATGCACACATGTAGTATCCCTGCGCACGCCCCACCCTTGTTGACGACGACGAGGTGCCCTCTGTCAGCACGTCGTCGATGACGAACATGTTGCCAAAGTAGCCACGCGGGGCGTTCACCACCCGCACCGCCGTCGGGGAGGGGCCACCCGTCACGTCGTGCATGTAGAAGTGCAGGTGCTCAGCGTCCACTACTGGCACCGGCACCGCGCCGCCAGCGATGAGCGCCAGGACAGCAAGCAACACGGAGGAGAGCTTGCAGGAAGCCATGATGGAAACAGAGAAGGAGAGAGATCTTCTCAAGAAGCTAAGGCTTGTGTGTGCACTGATGTTCTAGTTACTAGTGCCGCGTGCATGTTTATATAGAGGCCGGGTACGTAGCTGTGGGCTGTGGGACGGTGGGTGGAGCGTCAAAAAAAAAAATCGAGTGAATTTAGATTTGTCTCATTTGGGCAAAGCATTTATTTCATTCATATTTTTGTCTGTTTATATATAAGGTATATATTTCTCTTTCCTTCGCACGAATGCACAACACGATGTCGGTCTCGGCACCGCACATCTACATCGATCCATATGCAATAGCATTACAGTTAGTTCGATTACTGAAAAATTTTCACATTCAATTTTTCTGGATATGATTCTCAGTCTCCCTCCTAGAGTCGTCGTTGCGTCGTCGTTGTCAATCTATAACGGTATAGTCCATGCTATTGCTATGCATCGCTGTGAGTGACACTGTTTACGGACAGGCCACCCGTCACGGCAACGGGATAAGGATGGGCCTATGCCGTACGTGTGTAGAGAGACCAACAGTTGATATGTCGTCTTCGTTCGACGGAATGGATCTGTCGTGTACCATTGATTGTGTATATATGGAATGGATCTGTTGTGTACCATTGATTGTGTATATATGTCCGGTCTCGAAGTGTCGGTGCACAGTACTGCAGATGGTATCTGCTGAGTGATGCAGAACGATTTGTATGTTGCCACGCTGGCTGCAACTAACGAGAAGGTTTATATAATGTATGTTACCCGGCAATTAGCTAGGAAAAGCATATGTAGAAACCGGTGACGTGGCCTGGAGAATCGTACGGTTCCAAAGGGGGAACGCGATAGGCTGGGTGGGGTCATATGTTAGAACAACTTCAGCAGAGTCTCTACTTAGCCTCCATAGCTAAATATGGGTGCCATGGCAAAGAACGTATAGGGCCCCTACTAGAGCCCCGAAATTTGTGGGCACCAAAATCCACCCTCCAGCCCCTATTCATGTGGGAGAATGGGGTTCATCCTTCGAGCACCATCCGATCGTTTCCTCCCCCACGCCTCCATAGCGCCCCCTTTCCTCTGTGCTCCGGCGAGTGCGCCCCCTCCCCTCTAGGCTACGGCCAGCGCGCCTCCCTCCCCTCGTTCCTCCGATGAGCACGCCTCGCTCCCCTCCTACCTCCGGCAGGTGTCGGCATAGCTCCGTCTCACCTTCCCCGTGCGGCCAAATCTGAGGGCGTGCTGCTCCAACGCACGGGAGCAGCTCCGACCATGGGCACGGTCGACCGTCCCCGCCGCCGCTGCATGGCTGGTTCGGTCATACGCCTGGACGCTGAGGCTCCTCCCCCGACCCGCCGCTGGGATGAGCGAGCTCCTCCCTCTCTTGCCTCCGGTTCCCTCTCTGCTCCGGCGGTGCGCTCCCTCTCTCTCCTCCGAATCTCCCACTCGCAGTGGAGCCAGCAGCATGCGAAGAAAAGGAGAAGAGGGAGGGAGAGTCGACTGGTCCCACATGACAGCGTCGCTGTGGGAAGGAATCTGGGGTCCTGTGTTTGGGTGCTACTGCTGGAGTTGAAGCAAAAATTTGACCAAGGTGGGGGCGGGCACCAAAATCTAAAATGAGGGCCATGATTTGGGGCTACTGCTGGAAATGTTCATTGATACTAAGGGTTTGTTTGGAAGGCCGATAATCAGCTCAAAAAACTTCCGTAAATTACAAGCACGTATATTTTACCTACCCAAGCTGAAACTTTGCTGCTGGGATGACTGGTTAGGCCACTATTATTACCCCAATTTTGGGCCAAAACAAGCAGAAAAAAATAATGACCTCTCAAGGACCGGAAAAGAAAACGATATCAAGGAGTCGGCTCGCTCGAGTCGTAGCCGGACCTGGTGAGGACGGAGGGGGATTCCATCTATTGCGCCCAGAGCAAATCCATGAAAACGACAAACAAATCCACGGTGATGGCTAGCCAATCCGTGGCAGTGGAGACAAAATCCATGACGACGGCACCCGCAGTTGCGCCGACGAGGACAAGAAGTAGTAGATGCGGCGACCGATGCGGAAGATGTCTAACTGGAAGTCGGCGTGGTGGTTGCGTTCACGAAGGCAGCAGCGGGCGGAGTTCTGAGGGCGGCGGTGAGTGGGCTGTGGTGTGCCCGACGCTGCGGCAGAGCCTGCACTCCTGCAGTTGCTCGGCTGACGAGGTCAGCAGCGACCATCAGTTTGTTACGAAGTCTGAATCCACGATCTCGTGTTCTATTGCTTGTTGATTTGTGTGTGCATGCAGGCTCGACTTTTGCTGATCTCCCGCTCATTCCGGTAGCTTCATAGTCCAATATTTCTCAATTCACCAACCGTTATGTCATGCTTCGCTGATCATTCTTTACCCAAACAATATTTTTCAAGGTTGTAAAAATCATTTGCATTTCATGGGTTTTCTTGTGCACAAAAAAATTACAGATTTATTGCATTTACAGGTGCATAAAATTTCAAAGCATCCAAATAGGGCCTAAGGGTATCAGATAGTAATAATATATCCGCTGCTACAGCCGGCTCATACCTTCTCGGTTCGTAACGTCTCATTACCACTGATTTTGGCCTTTTGGTGGTGAAATCAATGGGTCGGCATTTGCTCCAGCAATGATGATCATCTCGTCACCGACACCTAGGCATATGATCCGATGATGGTGAACACCTCATCACCCATGGGTTGGTGTTTGAATCCAGCGGTAAAGACACTACTGCAGATATGTCTTCATTGCCGTTTTTCGTCCTCGGTGGTGAAAGTGGCCGTGTTCTCTATTATCACTATTTGTTCGAACCAGCGGCAGAAATTATAAGCACCGTTGATTGGCTGTATAAATGGCGGTGATAACTGAAAAAACAAAAAATAGCCGTCATGCCCCTAGGGTAGCAGCCGTGGCTTGATGATGTCGTCGCCACCGCCACCGCCCTCGCCAGATTTGTCGGCGGGGGCACGCGCCACCACCTGCAGCTCATACACTACCCATGGAGCCCACACCCAAACCCGATCCAGCTGCAATAGAGTCCCAACAAATTATTGTAGGTCAAAGAGAGGCGAGCAAAATCTTTGCAGATCTAGGAGAGAAGAGATCATGAGCACCTGTCCTAAGTGCCGCCATCGCCATCACTGCTGCCATCATCCTCGGTGCCAGGGGCTTGGGGGCGCCCACGTCGCCAGGTGACGAGAGTCAAACAAGAGGTATGTTATGTCCCCGAGAGTCAGGCTCTCGGCCGACAGACCCCTTGACCGACCCATCTCAGATCGCTCGGGGGCTATACCCATAGGCTACGCTCTCGTGCGTACCCTCCGGTCGAAGTCTGGGCGAAGCCCCAGCTTGCTCCCTGCCTCTGCCCAAAGCTCGCTCACTGCCTCTGCCCAGAGCTCGGGGCCTCCCGACGGATGGAGGCCCGAGCTTGGCCACAGCCTAGCCCCCGCCCGAGCTAGCAGTCAAGCCAGCAACCGGCGCCCCGATCAACCAGCCCGCTGAGCGTCCAAGGCTTGGGGGCTCGCCGGCGCCGCCCCGACCAACGAGCGCGTGGTGTTGTCGCCTGCTCCTCCAACAAAATCACGTAAGGCGGCGTGACACAATCGGACAAATCCCTCTACCGGCTCCAGGGCGCGTGGGCTCCCAGGCTCGTCACCTTCATCACCAAGGAAGCCTCAAGAAGGCTCACCGTATGGAGGCCAGTCGAAGGAGAAAGCCCCTGGCGGTCAGACGCCAGGACATCAGTGACGTCAGGCGTTGCCCACAGCTCCCCTAACTCCATGACAAGCCGAGGTCCATCCACACTGCAGCAGCACCCTCCTAGACCCCGGTGCACGAAGGCTATAGACTCAAGCTTTCAAACTACCTTGCCCGACCTTCATCGGAATATAAGGTGAAGGTTGGCCCCCATAGAGGGGGGATCCTTTCTTCCACATCCATTCGCTAAGCAGATGGGCAAGCAAGAGCTCAGCCGAGAACAGAGCATTCGAGGGGAGCAGCTGAGTGCTCCTCCCCAGCAACCTATCAAGAGCGAGGAGCGTTTCCCATATTCACTAGGGAACTCAACCACACCGCTGACGAGCCTTAGGATAGAACCGAGCAATCGCCTACCAAACTCTATTTCTCATTTGTTGTAACCCCCTGATTTGCGTGCTCTGGAATACAAAGATTGTAACGACCCAAAAACCATCACAAGGTAGGCAGTCATTTCTAACCATCCAAGTGTGCATTTTTAATCCAAATTAGAATCTAACTTATGCCTAGGCCAACCCAAAACCGAGCACTGCCAGTTTTGGCGGATCGTCCGACATCACCACCGGATCGTCCGTCAAGACATCTCACAGACTTAGGATAATCTTAGCCAGCCCGTGCACTGACGAGTGTCTGCTGTCACGGTGGAGTGTCCGTCGAAACCCTTGCACAGTCAGCCTCTGTTAGGCACGCCACCAGGATCGTCCGTTACCCTGGTGGACTATCCGTCAAATTGGTCGACATCTGTCCCATGCACTGTGATGTGGTGTCACACACACACCCGCCTTGGCCCCACATGTCAGCCCACCTCACCCTCACATATCACCACCAGCAGCACCCTCTCCCTCTCCCACCCGCATTCTCACTTTCAGCCACCAGAGAAAGCAAAGAGAAAGGGAAAGGAGAGGAGAAGGGAGAAGAGAAGAGGAGGAGGAGAGGAAGAGGAGGAGGACACCCCTCCCCCAGTTGCAGCTTGCTGGAGGAGCTGTACCACGCCACGACCTCGCCGGAGTTGGAGAAGAAGGCCCAAGCTTCGTCATCTTCTATCTCGAGCTCCCATGGCGCCCCGAAGTCGATCTCCGCCCTCGAGCAAGACCAAGCCAAGCTGCTGCTACCAGAGGTTGCCAACAACGTGGTGAGCACATCCCCAAAGTCCCCAACCATCTCCCCCAACCTCCCATGGCCATCCCATGTGCTTCACCTCTCATCCATGGCCACCACCACCATGGATGGGGTCGAGCTCACCACAG